CCGGGAGTGTGTGAAGCAGCAGGGAGCCAACCCCACCCCCCCCCCCTACCTGCCAAGGCTTTCACAGCTCTGCCCCACCCCCCACTGGGGCCCTGCAGCTGTGCATTCTAGGCCTGGGCTCCAAGTCCCAGCCACTGCCCAGCTGGGTGGCAGCCCTTGCCCTAGCCCTGCCCAACTCCCCCTCTCCCTCCCTATGGGGGCCTCAATCCCTCCTTTCCCCCCAACCAGACTTACTTGCAGGAACTGCTCTCCAGGCTGCCAGGTAGCCATGTGTATGTGTGAGCATGTACACGCACATGGCACCCCATCCCTGACCACCCTTCTTCTGCTCCCCCCAGCCCCTTGCAGGCTGGAACTCTGCCAGCCTGCAGAGAGCTCTTTGCAGAAGTGGAAAATCCACATGTTTCTCCCTTAAAAGGGGAAATCTGTCTTTTTTTCCATTTTTCCCCAGGAAACAGAAAACCTGGATCCCTGTTCATCACCAATATTTCATCTTGAAAAAGAGTTTCCCCAAGAACCACTCATATTTTATCCCAGATTAAAAAGAATCCTCCGTTCAATTAAACTAATAAGACCATTTTATTAATATGAAAATTAACAATATAAACAGTAAAAAGTCTTCAAATGCAAAGACACTGCAATTCAAAAATAACTTGATACAGCTAATTCTTTACAATGTATCCTACACCATATAATAGAAATTATTCTGAGGCAACTCAGTGTAGTATTTTGTCACAAGACTATGATTATCTGTGGGTTTCTCCTTAAAAAGCCCAATGCTGCTCCACAACAGGCCAATTAAGATAGACTTGCAAAATATATATATTTTTTATCTTAAGTATAGTACCATCTATTCATTTTGTCAGCACTGCTGATTTTAGGATGGTATGAAAGTAAAGGTAGCATATCACAGAAGACAGTTTTTGCTTTTCAATCAATTCTACTTATAACCAGATAAAACCTGGTGCACACTGCTTTCTGGTTCGCTAGGAATCTTCAACCAAAGTTTTGAATTTTCTAAAAAAATTAAAGTAACGGTTACAGTTATCCACAATGACTGCAATGTAATAGGTGTAACCATAAGTCACAAGCCACGTGTTATTCCAGAGAAGTTTAAATGTAGTCCAACAGCTGCATGAAGCTCTTTTCCTGCACCCTGTGAAGATCAATTGACAAACTTAGATCTTGTTATGCCTGTGCAGAGCCCATCCAAAGAAGAATTTTGCTTACAATTAAATACAGTGCTTTATGTTATTTTAAATTATCTTAATGGTCATTCTGCTCTTAAATCTAAATACCCAACTCAACACATGCTATAGAACTTTTACAACAATTCCTGTGGACAGCCATGATTTCTGAATGATTCAGGAGTAAAAAATTTTTCATGAAACATTAAATGTTAATTTAAAGAATAAGAGGCTTCCTGACTGAATCCTGAGGAAGTATACTGTGGTACCCAAAAGCTTGCCTATATCTACAGCAACCATTTTACTGGTCCTGAAAAAGATAATCACCCACAAGAATACTTGCCTTTCATCTATCTCCTGGACCAGCAGGGCAACATCATCACCCAAACATTACTAAAGCTGGATCATTCTATATAGCATCTTGAAATGTTGGCAAAAACATTAGCTTCTTTCCTTAGCTGTCCTAAACTACCCAGTGTTTCAAGACTGAAATTTATCAACAGCAAGTGTGGCAGATCTTAAGCTATTTTTTAAAATTATTGGTTACAAATTATCCAGTCCCACAGACGCGGTAACATTCAACTTTATTAGGTGATGTTTCACTTCCTGCCTAGTTTCTGTTTGAAAATAAATTTCATTATCATTAACAGATGTGAATACTTCAGTCAGCTTCCTTTGCAGAAGAGAACAGAAATATTTACTGAATGCTTCTGTTGGTTGTTGTTTTTTTTTAAACAACTATATTGTCCTCATTCAGTAAAAGACTGCCATTGTTACCTGGGTTTCTTTTGTGCTAAAGATTTTACAAAATCCCTTTATAAGCCAAATCATGTTCTTACTAGAACCAATAAAAACTTCTGTTGATTTCAGTGATGCAGGATTTGCCCCACTGCCCTTCATCATAGGGCCCATAGACTTTTTTTTTTAAATATAGGTTTTAGCTTCCCTTATGAATTGCAAAAAATTATCATCTCCCTTTAATTAAAAATTAAAGGGGAGCAGAGGGCAAGGGGGCTACCAGACTCACCTCCCCCTTAAATTATTTTCCCTTATCTCCCTTTGGAGATAAATTGTTTTCCCAGCTATAGCAGTGGGAGGGGGCAAACTCAAGGCTAACCTCCAATGTGCCTGGAAAATAACAACAAATGTATACATGTTCCATATACAGAATCTAATTCTTGGGGTGTCATCTTACACCAGAATGAATATGGTAATTTGGCTACTACCAGCAAAACCAGCACATCAACTGTAATTCAAAAATTTCGTGTTCAGAAACACTTCATGGTTTGGTGTGTAGAAAGGAATGTTGCTTTCTTTTCAAACCTTTCTGAGCTGAAATAAGGAGAAAATACAGTAATTTAGGTGCTTACATTTATTTTTCCCCTTTCAATTTCCTTTTAGGCAACTCCAACTGGCACAACGTTAAACTATGATGTTCCCCTATTGCAAACTGCTACCTAAATCAGTTTGTGCTGCTATTAGAAATCAAAATTTCAAATTGATGAAGTTTCCTACCTTTAGAATTTTAAGGAAAAAAGGCATGCTGCTTGAATCTTTCAGTTATTCATTTACATATGAATATAGGCTTAAAAAAATGTTAGACATAAAAGTAAGAAAAACATTTGTTTTTAGAACTTTCTTTTGTCAGGAATGTAAGCTTCTAAACATAAGTACCAGGACACAAATCTCTCCAAATGTTAATATTTCTTTCCTGGAACTTGGATTTCAGCTGTCTGAAGTATTAACTCAGTGAAAAGCAATGTAGGACCACAGAAAAGTAGGGCTGGAAGGGACCTCATACAGCAGGGGTGGGCAATTATTTTGGGTGGAGGACTGAGTTTTGGCAAGCCATCGAGGGCCGCAGGACAGGCAGCCCAGCCCAGGGCAGATAAATATTAATTTTCTAAATTCTTTAGGGGCCCCACGGGCCGGACAGAATGGCCTGGTGGGCTGCATCTGGCCCGTGGGCCACATTTTAGCCACCCCTGTCATAGCCATCTAGTCCAGCCCCTTGTTCAAGGTAGAATCATTCCTGACAAAACTATCCCAATTTGAAAATTTCCCCCTTTTGAAAATTTCCAGGGATGGAGACCCCACGATTTCTATAGGTAGCCTGGTCCATGGTTTGACCACCCTCAAAGTTCTTCCTAATTCCCAACCTAAATTTCCTCTGCTATAAGCAAAGGCAATTGCTCCTAATTCTGTGCCCCACAGCTTCAGACAACAGACTACCTCTATCCTCTATAATCACCTTGTAGGTATTTGAAGACTGCTATCAAATCTCCCCTCACTTTTCTTCTC